AGCCGCGGGTTCGAACCCCGCACCCACACCCCTCTCCGTCACCCGCGCGCAGCTGCGGGCGCGCCGGCCTCGGGGCCAGGTCCGGGACCGAACTTGGACTTAGCTCTGTGACCTTGGACGAGACGCTTGGTTGTCCTCTGGCCTCAGTTGGCCCAAGTGTAAAATGGTCACAGCGAGCTAGTGCTACTCTCAGAGAGTTGTTCGCAGGGTTAAACCACAGGGTGTAGAACACAGTACAGCGCCGGGCAGATAATAGATGCGCCGTAATGTTAGCGCTGTTATTTACCATTTCCCACTAACCTTTCCCATCGGGTCACCGTTGGTACCGGTGGCCGAGGCATCCTTGGCTGGTGCAGATCCACCCGCATTCTGATAACAGCAGGGGAACCTTTGATTGAGGACTGTGCTAAGTGCCACGGTACTATTTCTTTATTTTTTTTTCCTTTTTGGTACCAGGAGTCGAACTCAGGACCTGCTTGCCAGGCAGGCGCTGTGCCCCTGGGCTGTATCCCCAGCCCTCCCAGGAACGGAGTGCTATTGTCCGTGACGTTTCATAGGACTGAGGCTCAGTGAGGTCACAGCTGTGGTCCTGTTGTTGGGGTTATCCTGGGGCTTGAGGTAGCGTCTGGAGTGTGGAGCCCGCACAGTAAACATTCGCTTAGCCTCGGGCACAGTTTTTGTCTTTGCCGGTCTTGCAGTGTTGCCCAGGCTGGCCTTGATCTCTGGGGCGCAAAGTGATCCTCCTGCCTCAGCTCCGGGAGTTACCTGGGATGACAGGCCGATAATTCTGTTGTGGACCGATCCTGTGCAGGATGGGATGTTTATTGGCCTCTCCCACTGGGTACTCATAACATTCCCTTTCCCAGGTCAGAGCTTCTAAGTGGATCGTGATTATTTTACTCAAGATCTCTTGTGTTGTCCTTTCACTGCCAGCAGCTCTGCACCCTTGGGCCTGGCGGCGGTTACACACCATCTACCATTCTGTGGAGCTGCCCGAGACGCACCAGATGCTGCGTCAGACCTGCCGGGACTTTGCTGAGAAGGAGCTGGTTCCCATCGCGGCTCAGGTGGACAGGGAGCATCTCTTCCCAGCGGCGCAGGTGAGATCACCAACCTCCGTGGCCGGCTGCGCTCGGATGAGTGGTGACTGACAGTCTGGGGCACTTCGACTCCAGTCAGGGAGCGCCTTCGAAGGGGCTCTGGACCCGAGTGCTCTGGAGGTTTCTTTTGTTCACTGTAAGACCTTTAGTCAGGGTTTCATTTCCAAATGACAGTAACTAGCGGCGGTCAGCCTGCTTAGTTCTGTCCCAGGCACTGTGCTGATAGTGGTAGTTAATGTAGAGAACCCTTGACGCGTGCTGAGCCCTGTGCTGTGCACGTGACATCAGTTACCACGTTTGTTCCTCACGCAAGTGAAGGTCCCGGTATTGTGCCCGTGGGATCACCAGTGAAACTCAAGCTTGTGAGCAGGTTAAATAATGATCCCAAGGTCAGGGGACGAAGAGCGAGGGGTCCAAACCAGGTCTGTCTTCTCCCAGACCCCCGAGGTCTCCACCAATAGGCTCCCTCCTGTGCTCCTCCATCTCTGTTCAGTCCATCTGCGATGCCACATAAGCTGTTCCTGATGTCTCCTGACCTCGTAAGATGCCTGGCACACTTACAAATGCTCCAGAGATACTTGTGGAATCCGTGATTTGTGAATGGGCCAACCCTTCTGGGCTCTTATCCCTGTCTTTTTAATGGTCCCCATGTACATGTCCTGCAGGTTTTGGGGCCAGTGTTTTGGCTTAATGAATGTCGTGTAGTCAGTTTGCGAGCCACTGTGCCTGGACTGTGAGAACATCCAAGGTCCCCAAAGCTGGTAGACAGGTTGCTTTCTAGTTAGAAAAATCAGCTGGGCTGCTTGTAGGGATTTTTGTTGTCTTATTTAATCCATATACTGTTGTATCTCTACTTAGGCTAGTCTCTGTTTTTTGCCTACTGGAATGCTTGCAGGTAAAAGGACATAATGTTTGTTGAACGTAAGGTGCCTGGCTCTTGAGTAATGGTAGCAGTTTGTACTGTACTTGTCATTGTTATTACTGTCGCAGAAACAGAAGCGAGAGAAGTGAAGCAACTTCCCACGGTTTGCTGGTGTGCACAGCTAGACCTCATAGCCCGAGTCTGGCTGGCCCAAAACCCTGCTCCATCACCATCCATGCACATGACCCAGAGGCCCTGCCAGCCGGCAGGGAAGCCCCGATCTAGTTGGGAAGGATGCTGTTGGGCCTCCCCTGCCCCTGCGCCTATGCCCACCACATTCGTGACTCGGTGGCCTCACCTGGGATTGCCGCTTTACCTTTCAGAGCCTTAGTGGGGATGTGAAAAGGCGTGAATTCTGGGAGGAGAAGAATGCAAAAGGCAAACAGGCCTTGGAGCAGCAGGAGCAGTTTAGGGACTCCTCCCCGAGGGCCACTGCCTAAGACTTGGCTGTGTGTGGGAATATTCCTGCCCGAGGCCAGACTGCCTGGTTTGTCTGTCCTATATTGTTGGACACTGTCAGATTATTACCAGTATCAGACATCAATTTGCTTTGTGCCAGAAAGCGGCTGTCGGAAGGTAATGTTTGCCGTCTACTTTTAATGAGTCCCCGGGCGTGGTGCTTTCTGACTTGCTCTGTGGGGCTGGGGTAACCCCTGTGATGGTGGCAGAAGTAGGGCTTGAAGGAAGAGGTCAGGGACAGCAGCTTCTCCCAGCTGGCACAGGGATACAGCTGTGTGCGGGTCTCCTGAATGTGTGAGGGTAGCTGAGAGTGTGATCGCGTCTGTACTTTGTTTCATTATCTCCCAGGTGCTTCCTCCTCTGTACTCTGCTAATCCTGTGCTCATCAGCCCGTTTGCTGGTGATCTGTGCACGGCCTCAGGGTGTAGCAGGTGTGTCTTGTGCAGCCCACCTCCTGTGCCCTCTTTTTTTTCTGAATGTTATGAAATGTTTTTAAACAGAAGTTTTGTTTCTTATGCACATTAACTGTATTACTTGTTTTACATAGGTGACACACGATAATTCCTCTTTACTCGGCATGGCCAGGCAAGCCAAAAGGTTGGACACCCATAAGCTGGGGAGGAGGAGCCCCAGATCCGCTGATCTGTCCAGTCTGCGTTGAGTCGCCACTTGTTTGGTGGCTGCAGTGGTCATTGCTCAAAGTGTGTGTCCCAGGGGCTGAGGGCCAAGGCCTGTTTGCTTTTTACCTTTTTTCATCGCTGGGAATCGAACCCAGGGTGTTGTACATGCTAGGCAAGTGCTCTACCTCTGAGCTCCATCCCTAGTGCCTGCCTTTTGTTCTTAGCCCTGTCCCTGTACGGTGCTAAGCTCCCAGTTACAAGGGGACTTGAGGGGTAAAGCAGGCAGAAGGCTGAGAGAACTAGACACACGCGGGTAATAGGACATGTTTGCACAATGCCGGGTAATACAGTGAGTGTTTCAGAGGTATAGTGGGGGCTGTGGATGTAGCCCAGTGATAGAGCACTTGCCTACTGTTTGCGTACGTTCAGTGAGCAACCCCACATTCACACACACCAAAGAAAACCCCAAATTGTCATAGTGATGATCCGTAGCCAACAGTTGGAATCTTTGTAGTTCAGGTCTAGGTACATACATTTAATTCACTGAGTCTTCAGGACAGCATGGTGAGGTAGTTAATTATCCAGTTTTCAGATGAGGAAACTGAAGCCAGGGGTTAATTTGTTATTGTTTCTGGAGATTGAACACAGGAGTGCTTTACACTAAGCTGCATCTCCAGCCCTTTTTATTTTTTATTTTGAGACAGTTTTACTAAATTGCCCAGGAGGATTTGAACTTTCGATCCTCCAGCCTCAACCTCTCAGAATGCTGGAATTAGAGGCATGCACCATTGCTCCCGCCTGAGTTAGTTTCTTCCTTTCCTTCTTTCCCTCCCCCGCCCGCTCGTTCCTCCGCCCCTCCCTCCCTCCCTCCCTTCCTTTGTTTTGCAGTGGTATAGAGAAACCCAGGCCTAGGACAAGCTAGGGAGCTGCTCTACCACTGAGCTGCACCCTAGCCCCTGCAGTTGGTAGTTAAGGAGACACATGCAGACTTCTGAGCCACCCCTTGGCCTATAGCTTAGTGAGTTCTAATATGTTTTCCTGAAGAATTTTTTATGTTTTTCATTAGTACAGTATATGTTTCCTGAAGAATTTTTTATTCCCCCAATAAAGTAGGTTTGCAAGGGAAGGGTCAAAGGGAGGGAATTTTGAGGAAGGTAAGCCAAGAATTAAGTGGAAGGTAGGTGCCAGTTTTTCCTTACTTGGCTGGTTTTGTAACTTCAAGTGACCTTTAGTCTTTTTATGTCCAAACTAACAAATGAAAGAACATTATGACTTTACAGTGTCATTTTGTCACAAAGGTGAATAAGAAACAGAATGGTGTTTCCAACCAGTTTCAGCCTTTGTAATTTTGAAAAGTATTTTTATGTGTACAAAATGAATCTTTCTTCTCATCCACTCAGTGATTTTTTTTTTTTTTTTCTGGTACCAGGAATTGAACTCACGACCTTGTGCTTGCCAGGCAGGCACTATGCCACTGAGCTAAACCCCCAACCCCTCAGGGAATTTTTTTGTTTTGTTGGTACCAGAAATCGAACTCAGGACCTTGCCCTTGCCAGGCAGGCACTGTGCCACTACTGGGCCCCACTCAATGAGTTTTTATTGAATAATTTTTTTTTTTTTTTTTTTTTTTTTTAAAGACAAGATCTGGCTATGTAGTTCAGACTGGCCTTGAACTCACTATGTAGCAGTGTAGCATTTCATCACCTGTGTACAATGTGTGATGATCTGATCACGGTGATTGGCATGTGTGTCAGCTCAGATACTTTTCATTTTATTTAGCATAATGGTAGTAAATTGTATGTATATATTATGTGTACAATGTAAAGTTTTGATATATGCTGTTATAAACTACCACAGTTTTTCTAGTTGGCATATTTATCACTTAACACATTTATCTTTTGGATATGTGGGGAAAAAATAAAAACAACTCTTGTACTAATTAAAACTGTATAAGGGATACTGTAGCCATCATGGTAGTCAGCACAAGATCTGCAAACCTTTCTTATACTGTATAAAAGCAACACTGTGCCTTTCACGGACATCTGTCACAGCGGCCATCCCAGCGCTCTCTGCTGCTTTCAGGCCTACAGCGTTAGATGATGACTCAAGTCTAGTCAAACTGTTGATGTCTGATACAGTTCACTGACTGATCTCCTGGTCAATCTACAGGATCACAAATGAAAGGATTTCCTTCGGGGCTGGGGATTTAGCTCAGCGGCAAAAGCGCCTG